TCTTTGCAATCTTTTTTCTTGTTGTTGTTGTTGTTGTTCTTCTTCTTCTGCTGCTGCTGCTGCTTTTCTTCTTCTTCTTCTTCTTCTTCTTCTTCTTCTTCTTCTTCTTCTTCTTCTTCTTCTTCTTCTTCTTCTTTCTTCTTCTTCTTCTTCTTCTTTCTTCTTCTTCTTCCTTCTTCTTCTTCTCTTCTTTCTTCTTCTCTTCTTCTCTTCTTCTTCTTCTTCTTTTTCTTCTTCTTCTTCTTCTTCTTTCTTTTTCTTCTTCTTCTTCTTCGTTTTCTTCTTCTTCTTCTTCTTCTTCTTCTTCTTCTTCTTCTTCTTCTTTCTTCTTCTTCTCTTCTTCTTCTTCTTCTTCTTCTTCTTCTTCTTCTTCTTCTTCTTCTTCTTCTTCTTTCCCCCTCCTTCTCATCCATCGTTTATTTATTTATCTTATAAGATAACGACCTCCTAATGTTGTCACTATTAACAATCTGTCTCGTCACTGATATCACAAGACTGAGCCATTGTCTCACCTCCAGATTCACCTTGAAACTTTCTAATAACCTTATACTGTTTTTATATTTATGCAACACCACTCCTACCCCCCCCCCCGCCCCCACCCCTACCCCTTTCCATCGAACTGGTTTATTGCCACTGATACTGATAATAGAGTCATGAATGGATTTCCAATATTTTATGTTTCTCCTACTCACCCGCTGTCATCTCTTCCTTCATTTCTTCATATTGGTATTTCACTTGTATCACTGACTGCCACTTGCTCGACTGTCCAATAGTGCTTTCGTGTCTAGGTATTATCCCCACTACCACTAGTATTGTAGTTGTCCAGTTCTTTTTGTGACCACTACTATTATATTGTCTTCTCTGGCCAGATTTTATCTTTAAGATGAGGAGTTTCTTCACTGTCAAATTGTAATCGCCCCTTGGACAATGAACAGGCAACAAGAAAATGCAAATGAGTCTCTGAAAACAAGCAAAACAGTTAAACACAGTTGTTTTGAAAGGACTACGAATGAAAAGAGAATTACTGAAAAAAATTACGATAAGTACAATTAAAATTTGTTGGCCACATCAAAAGACCTAAGACGCTTGAAAAAACCATGCTAGAGAGAAAGGTCTAGGGCAAGAGCACAAGAAGTAGACAACGATACCGTGGGAGGACAACAGCAAGAGATGGACAAACAGCAGTCTGAGAGAATATACAGCCAAGCCAAGACACAAAGCCTGTTGGACATCCATTGCAGCAAACCTTTATTGTGGAGACGACACCATATTGATTGAATCACACCTACTACTAGTGTCATTTTTGTCTAATTATTATCATAATTACCACTAGTTTACTCCCTTCCATACCTCACGATGGCTACTGCTCGTTTCTTTTCTCTAATATTCTCTGTCCACATATTATGATCACAGCCATTGATGTCTTTCTCTGTCCATTTCTTATCGTCAGTATCGTCAACGTCTTTTCTGCCCAAATCGTTTCACCACAACGACTTCAACCTATTATGTCTGGTTCATAATCATTTACGTCCATAATCGCTTTCATCACCCATGCATTTACTGGCAACTTCACCCTCGCGCTCGAAAAGTTTCATCATTTGTCAAGTTTTTACTTCTTAGCCCACTTTCTTTATAACTACAATATTGATCACAAAACATGACTTACAAGAAAACACTGTTGACACTGAACTTACCTAAAACTCTCAGCTGAACAAGGAGGGGATCCATTAGGTGCTCTCCTGTAATCAGTCTGTTACTTTCCCAGGATATTCCGCTTCATTGGCTACACAGCAGGATATAAACCTCCCCGAGGTATTGTCTGGGAGCTGCAGTCAAGACAGACCCCAGAGTGTCCTCACAAATAAGATTACTATAAACCCGAACTGAGTGAGTGGAAGTTGCATACTGACGGCAGAACTGGTTAGTGAATCATTTCTGCGTTTCTAGGATACACGGTGAAATCAATGCTGATCATAGCGTTATCAATACTTTTCCATCAACAGGTTTTAGGTTTTCATACAGTCAGCAATTTCAAGATTTCATAAGATATGCTATCTATCGTTTCGGAATTTTCACTGTATTATAGGCAGTTCTACGTTTTCATGCATTGTTTATTCTACAGTTGAAGGTTTTTCACACATCCTGCAATTTCAGGTTTTAAAACTGTGTCTTATCTGCAGTTTCAGGCATTTATTTATATATTGTGACATTAACAAGTTATATTTTTGCATTAGATGACATCTGCAATTCAAGGTTTCTCGCACGCTGCATTATTTCTTGATTCACGCTTTTCACCAATTATATTTTATCTCGTTTTAGGTTTTTCATTTTTTAGCATCACTCATTTCAGATTTTTTCATATATTGTATTATTTCTAGTTTTAGTTTTTCACATACTGTGTTAATATCTGGCTTCACGTTTTTCATATATTGTATTAGTTCTTGTTTCAGGGTTTTAACTTATTGTATTATCTATCGTTTCAGGTTTTTCCACACACTGTGTTATCTTTCGTTTCAGGTTTTTCCACACACACTGTGTTATCTTTCGTTTCAGGTTTTTCCACACACACTGTGTTATCTTTCGTTTCAGGTTTTTCCACACACCGTGTTATTTTTCGTTTCAGGTTTTTCCACACACACTGTGTTATCTTTCGTTTCAGGTTTTTCCACACACACTGTGTTATCTTTCGTTTCAGGTTTTTCCACACACACTGTGTTATCTTTCGTTTCAGGTTTTTCCACACACACTGTGTTATCTTTCGTTTCAGGTTTTTCCACACACACTGTGTTATCTTTCGTTTCAGGTTTTTCCACACACACTGTGTTATCTTTCGTTTCAGGTTTTTCCACACACTGTGTTATCTTTCGTTTCAGGTTTTTCCACACACACTGTGTTATCTTTCGTTTCAGGTTTTTCCACACACTGTGTTATCTTTCGTTTCAGGTTTTTCCACACACTGTGTTATCTTTCGTTTCAGGTTTTTCCACACACACTGTGTTATCTTTCGTTTCAGGTTTTTCCACACACACTGTGTTATCTTTCGTTTCAGGTTTTTCCACACACGCTGTGTTATCTTTCGTTTCAGGTTTTTCCACACACACTGTGTTATCTTTCGTTTCAGGTTTTTCCACACACACTGTGTTATCTTTCGTTTCAGGTTTTTCCACACACTGTGTTATCTTTCGTTTCAGGTTTTTCCACACACACTGTGTTATCTTTCGTTTCAGGTTTTTCCACACACTGTTATCTTTCGTTTCAGGTTTTTCCACACACACTGTGTTATCTTTCGTTTCAGGTTTTTCACATATTGTATTAGTTCTTGTCTGAGGTAGAATAAACAGATGCAGATCGAGAGAAATAAAAGGTTAGTTGCGTATCCTTTACAGGACATTGCAGAACCAACCCCAGCAGATCCTGGCTGTTGTGTGGTTTCTCTAGGCAAATTTACATCCAGTAGTTTGCTATTGCTACTGGACGGTCGGCCCCCTGATACCACTGTCGAACAAGGCGCGTGGCCCGCAGCTGGGATCGAGCCCGGCATTACGAAGCGTTCGCATCCACTAACCACAGAGCCGACTCGAGAGAGATAATACTAGGTAAACTTAGAAGGTGATAACAAAAACTCCCCCCCCCCCCTTTTTTTGCAGGGCTGCCAAAAGCTCATTTAAGGTGTTGGGGGAAGGGTGGGGGTTAGACCAAGTACCCGCTGATAGAGTAGAATGCGTCACTAATTAGAGTCTTGCTGAAAGAGGACGGGTTGAATCGAAAGGTGCAGATATTGGAGGCTACCTGTAAAATACAACATATTTCAACCCCTTTTTAGGAGTAGGCACAGACGAAGCAGAAAAAGAAGAAGGAGAAGAAGAACAAGAAGAAGAAGAAGAAAAGAAGAAGAAGGAGGAGGAGAAGAAGAAAAAAAGAAGAAAAAGAAGGAGAAAAAGAAAAAAAAAGAAGAAGAAGAAGAAGAAGAAGAAGAAGAAGAAGAAGAAGAAGAAGAAGAAGAAGAAGAAGAAGAAGAAGAAGAAGAAGAAGAAGAAAGAAGAAGAAGAAGAAGAAAAAGATAAAGAGGAAGAAAAAGTAGGGGGAAAAAAGCAGAAGAAGAAGAAGAAGAAGAAGAAGAAGAAGAAGAAGAAGAAGAAGAAGAAGAAGAAGAAGAAGAAGAAGAAGAAGAAGAAGAAGAAGAAGAAGAAGAAGAAGAAGAAGAAGAAGAAGAAGAAGAAGTAAAAGAAGAAGAAGAAGAAGAAGAAGATAAAGTATGCGATACGATCGATTCTTTGCGATAGGTTTGGTCCCAGTCAGTTCGGTTTTCCTCAACACACTACCATTAGGCGGTCGAGATTGCACACACCACGAGCTACGAACCTCTAGCAACGATCTCATGTGATATCCGAAACACCTGCACTTGCGAACCAAAAGAAGAGTCAGAAATCGACTCCACAGCCTCTAAAACACAAGGCACACTTCCTATTTCTTCACCATCAAGACCCAAATAAAAGCATTTGTTAGTATAGTGTAGGCGACACATCTGCTCTTCATATTCCAATCCTTTTCCATAAACCTTGCGGTGTGGAGGGAGACAAGGTTCTGGCTGTCTCGACCACAGACACGTCGTACTATTTTAGAGTATCTCTGATGCCATCTGTCCATCTTGTTCCTGGTCTACTCATGGTGTTCTTAACACTAGGCCTCGCTGGAGACTTGACCGGGAGCCTCACGAGCAGGAGGCCCCATGCTTATGTGTGTATGTAAAGTGACTTATAATATATAAAACATATATTTGACGTAACAAATAGTTCCATTCAATAAAAAAATTTTTTTCAACTTGCATACTCACGCAGGTTGTGTTATAGGAAAGTTGTTATAGAATATGAAGTTACGGCATTTAACAAACATGTGTTGAAACGTGAACTGCAAGGTGGAGAGTTTGTATATCTAAATGGTTACTCCGGCTGCCATCACAAGGTGATCGTTTCGTTTGTTTCGCTTTGTGTGTCGTCCAAGAACATCGGGGTTCAGTAATTGCGTGTCGCCCAAGAACATTGGGGTTCAGTAATTGTGTGTCGTCCAAGAACATCGGGGTTCAGTAACTGTGTCGTCCAAGAACATTGGGGTTCAGTATTTGTGTGTCGTCGAAGAACATCGGGGTTCAGTAATTGTGTGTCGTCCAAGAACATCGGGGTTCAGTAATTATGTGTCGTCCAAGAACATTGGGTTTCAGTAATTGTGTGTCGTCCAAGAACATCGGGGTTCAGTAATCGTGTGTCGTCCAAGAACATCGGGGTTCAGTAATTGTGTGTCGTCCAAGAACATCGGGGTTCAGTAATTGTGTGTCGCCTAAGAACATCGGGGTTCAGTAATTGTGTGTTGTCCAAGAACATTGGGGTTCAGTAATTGTGTGTCGTCCAAGAACATCGGGGTTCAGTAATTGTGTGTCGTCCAAGAACATCGGGGTTCAGTAACTGCGTGTCGTCCAAGAACATCGGGGTTCAGTAATTGTGTATCGTTCAAGAACATCGGGGTTCAGTAATTGCGTGTCGTCCAAGAACATCGGGGTTCAGTAATAAGAAACACAGCAGTGTTGTTGTAGAACAGACAAATGGAGAAGAAGAACGAAAGTGCATGACAGCATATTTGATAAGTCATAGAGAAACTAAAAGTTACCTGCTTACTGAATGCTGAGATAAAGTGTTGACACGTCTTGTTTCTGTAATTTGATTCTTGCTTCTAGAGTTTTGACATTCCATTCAAAAAAAGAAATTATTGGTTCAGCACAAAAAAGCAATTATTTAGGTTTAGGAATACTAAAGCTGCTTAGTGTGTTTGACCCTTCTTTGAAAGAAATCTGAAAATGTGTTAAAATTCTGGAAAAGAGAATCCGTCATATTTATCTGCCAATGTTTGTGAGAATATTTTTGAGTTATTGGGTCAATAGGTTCTTTGTACTATAATTGAAGAAGTAGAAAAGTCAAAGTATTTTTCAATGTATGTAGAATCCAGCACAGGCTTCTCATTTACAGATCAGCTGACATTTACTGCCTGCTAGAGGCTACGAGCCTGGAGAACGTTTCTTGATGTACATCTTTTCGCATCATGGAACAAAGAACCAAACAGAAACCGATGTGGATTTTCTTACTGAGAACAAAATTCCACTATCAAACTACCGTTGTGAGTCACAGGATAATGCCCTCAGTATGTCTAGAAGACATACTGGATTACAATCGCGGATTCTTCAACTCAGTGACTTTGTCATCTTTATCAAATGTGCTTGATGCAGCCAGAACATGATGCTAGTGAGAGCAGCAGAGGCTTGTCCACAGTCCTTGAAATGTTTTCACTTTTGTTTTTAATGTTCATTTTTGCTAGTTCTACTCACTTGTGCAATATACTGACATCATGTTTAGTAAGAGACTTTTTTTTTGGTCAAGCGTCTGTCTGACACAGGATGGCCAGCACATGATGAAGCTGGGAATGCTCCGTATGCGCACTGACAACAAATCAGCAGCTTTCAATAGTTGTAACAAAATTTTGAATTCTAAGCTGTATAGTTTCAAAATCAAGTTACGTATTTGCAATTTTAATGTTATTTAAATTTTTCCATATGCAAGTGAAAGATGGAGACTCACTGAAGACATGGAACGAAAGTTACAGGCATTCGAAAACAAATCTCTTAGAAAAATGATGAAAATAAAATGGGATGAATTAAAAATGAATAAATAAATAAGAGAAATGTCTGGGCAACCACTAGAATCAATAGTTATAAATAAGAGAAAGTGGCAACATACTGGACACATTCTGAAAAGAAAGCAGCCGAGAATCACCAAACAGGCATTACAATGGGAAATAACGGAACTGAAGAAGAGAAGACGGCAAGAAAGAAACCCTAAAACGAATACCGATGAGAGAGGCCAAAGATGCTGGACCGGATTTCCTCCATAATATTGAAGTAAGTGCACAGAATAGAACAGAAAGAAAGAAACGACTGCCAACCCTATGTGAGATATAACGGTACAACAAGGTAATCAATGAACAAATGTTTTGTGTGTATGTGTGTGTGTGTGGGAGGAGACAAAAAGGAGGGGGAGATTAGGGAGTGAATAAACGACACTTGATTATCAATCAGCTGACAATGAACAGCTGTGAATTCAATAAGAGAAGCATAAGAAATAGGACGTCTGGAAACAATCAAAATGTTCTTTTAATGAAACGCTGGGAAGAATAAATAAAGCATGCCAGATCCTGCAATCAAAGGATGTAAACTTCCTTGTTGCTATAATCTTCATGAGTTTTTGAAAGCCAAACTCCAGGAGACTAGAAATACATTTAGTGAATATGATTTCCAAGTCAGCACTATGTGTCCAGATACAGATGCCAGTGATGGGAGGAAACGGGAGCGACAACGAAGTCTGCTTCCAAGTAGACAGGATGGATCAGCAAAACTGCCAGATTGCAGATGGAAACGTTCCTGGCTGTTCTAGACGCTCTAACCTTTGAACCGATACACGCACAGAGGCTTATTCACAGAGTGGAAATCTGTTTTCTGTCTTCAGGAACCTGAAAAACCATCGCTTCTGATGCGCTAAAGAAAACTTGTGACCAGCTAGCTAATATGTGTCATAAAGACCTGAATTATGCTGACCTTTTAAATTAATGTAAGTATCTCAAACACTATATGGCTTCTAATTAAAATTGTGAAAGTAACCCTGCGCGGTACAGAAAAACCATTTTGGACAAAGTGAAATCTGTTTTCCTGAATGTTGAAATTCGACTCAGTGTTCACGTGCGTGATGGTCAACAAGTGAACAGAAAAACTTTCTTTTTCAAGTCTACAACATTTTTTTTTTAAAGCAAAAAAATTGCTAGGTAGCACAGTGTGGCGGCAGTGTTTAAACTGGCTTTCATTCTTGAGCATGGAAATTACAATCCCAAAGACCGCTAACTTCAAGCCAATATTACATCAGTTCTGTGGGGGGAAAAAAATGCCATAAATGTTAGTTACAATGAGAAGTTCGTAGTAATTTCATATTGTGCCAACTAATCTGTGTATATATTTTGAGAATAGTTTCGCTAAAGTGCCTGTAGAATCCATATATGTTTAATAATTATCGACGATTTACGTTTCATTCTTGTGAGTGGTTGTCACAAGGGCCGCAGCACACT